GAGGGAATATTATGAACAACTTCATGTCAATAAAGTTGATAACCCGGATGAAATAGATGAATTCCTTGGTCATAAAAGGACTAAATACCAAAGCTCAATCAAGAAGAACTAAATAGCCAGAATAGCCCTTGTCTATTACAAATATTGACTTTGTAGCTGAAAACCTTCCCACAAAGAAAACTTGAGGCCCAGATGGCTTTACCCTTAAACTCTACCAAGCATTTAAGGAAGAAATGACATCAATAAAACTCTTTCAGAAAATTAAAGGTGAGGGAACACTTCCTAACTCATTCAGTGAGGTGAGCGTTAATACCCCCATGCCTAAACCAAATAAAGACACTGCAAGCTTTCTTAACTTAAGAATCCAAAATATATGGACATGCTCATTCATCTACATGACCCAGTGAGCCCTACCTTGGGCATGCAAGGCTGGTTGAACATTTGAAAATCAATGTGACTCCCAACATTGTAGATGAAAGAAGAAAACCATATAATCATCTCAATAGATGCAGAGAAAGCATTTGAGAACATTCCACATCCATTCACAATAAAAACAGAAATTAAAAGAACTTCCTCAACTCGATAAAGAGTACCTGCAAAAATCCTGTAGCTAATATCATACTTAATGGTGAAAGACTGAATGTTTTTCCCGCATAGTTGGGAATGAGGGAAGGATGTTCTTACCACTTCTATTCAACATGGTACTGAGGACTTAGTCAATATGAACAGGTAAGAAAACTAATTAAAAGTGTACCGACTGGAAAGGAAGGAACAAATGATCTTTAGTTATAGAGGATGTTATCACCTAATTAGAAAATTCCAAAGAATCTATAAAAAAGCTACTAGAACTGAAAAGGGAATTTAGTAAATCTGCAAAAATATAGTCAGTATACAAAAATCAGTCACATTTCACTATACTAGCAACAAGCAGTTGGGAATTGAAATTTAAAAAGTTCCATATAGGTAACCCAGTTGGTTAAGTGTCCAGTTCTTGATCTTGGCTTGGGTCAGGATCTCAGAGTTCATGGGATCAAGCCCCACAATCAAGAGCCTACCTGGGATTCTCTCTCTTCCTCTCTCCTTCTGCCCCTCCCCCACTCATTCTCATTATCTCTCTCTCTCTCAAAATAAATAAACCCGAAAAAAAGGTACCCTACACAGTAGCATTAAAGACATGAGATATTTAGGTATACATCTAACAAATAATTGCAAGTTCTGTGAGCTGTAAAACATAAATAGCAATAAAAGAAACCAAAAATATACTTTAATAAGTGGAAAGATATACCATCTTCATGGATCAGAAGACTCAATACTGTTAAGATGTCAATTTTGTCTAAATTTATCTAAATATTCAATGCAAAATCGAGTCCAGAAAAACACTCACATGCACAAAGGTAACTGATTTTTGATAAAAGTGCAAAAGTAATTCAATTAAGAAAGTGTATGCAACAAATGGTGTGTGATAATTGGATACATACGTGCAAAAAAATGGCCCCCAACCTATACTTCACATTATGTACAAAAATTAACTCTAGATCATGGACCTAAAAGTAAAACCTGGAGTTCCAAACTTGTAGAAGCAAATACAGGAGAAAACAAATCTTTGTGATCATGGGTCAGACAAAGTTTTCTTAGATGTGACCCCAAAAACGTTAAATTGGATTTCATAAAAATTTAGAACTGCTTTTTTTTTTTTTTTAATATTTTTATTTATTTCTAGGAGAGAGAGAGACAGCGTGAGCAGGGGAGGGTCAGAGAGAGAGGGAATCACAGACTGAAACAGGCTCCAGGCTCTGAGCTGGCAGTCAGCACAGAGCCCGACGCGGGGCTTGAACCTACGAACCACGAGATCATGACCTAAGCGAAAGTCGGATGCTTAACCGACTAAGCCACCCAGGTGCCCCAGAACTGCTTTTTGAAAGACATCTAGAAAAAAAATGAAAAGATAAGCTGTGGACTTCAAGGGAATGCTTGCAAATCACGTATCTGATAAAGGTCCGTGTCCGGAACACACAAATAACTCACAAAACAAAAACCCAAACACCAATGCAATCAATCTAATGAAATACAGACAAAAGATTTGAATAGACATCCCACCCGAGAAGCTACACAGATGGTAAGTAAGCACGTAACAGGTGCCCAATGTCCCAGGTTAAAGCTGGAGAGGAATACGGCTACACGCCTCCTAGAATGGCCGAGGTTGGGAGACAATCTCTGAAAATACCAAGTGCTGGTGACGTTGCGGAATAACTGGACCTTTCGTACGTTGCTGGTGAGGGTGTAAAACAGTACGGCCCGTGTGGAGAGGAGCTTGGTGCTTTCTTAGAAGGTTAAGTGTACGCTCTGCTGCTCTCCTCCTAGGCATTCACTCAGATAAAATAAATCACGTTCGCACAAAACCTGTACACAAATGTTTATAATGGCTCTACTTGTAATCGCCCCAACAGAAGAAATGCACACGTCCTTTTTGACTGGTGAATGCGTAACGAAGCTGTGTATTACATCCATGGAAATGCTCATCAGCAATAAAACGGAATGGATTCCTGAGAAGCACAGCAACATGGTTGGCTCTCAAACGCGTCATGCCAGAAACCAGCCCGGGCGCTGCACACCGCGCTGCCCCAGTTTTATGACTTTCTGAAGAAGGTCCAACTGAACAGGGATGGGAAGTTGGAGGAGGGTTGACTACCTAAAGGCCACGGGGGACCCGGGGAGATAAACCTGCTGCATATCTTGCGTGTGGTAGTGGTTTCACGACTATGACTTTGTCAAAACTTGCAGTGTCCCACTACAGACGATGAATCTTACTGTAGCTAAATTATGTCACAATAAAAAAGAAAGCAAGATCTCTAAGAACAAAAATGATTTCGCCCCCTCTCTGATCTCATGTCTGCTTTCTCTTGGCTACTCTGCCCCGGCAGTGAACTTGTGTTGCTCCTTACACCCCCAGGCACATTTCTACCCCAGGACCTTTACACTGGCTGTTCCTTCAGTCCAGAAAACATCCTCCCTCCAGATAGCTGCTGGGATCAGTTTCTCACCTTTAAGTCCCAGCTCACTTGTTACCTCCTGGATGAACTTAGTTAAAATTGCAGTGTGCCCCTCACCCTGCCCTCTCTACCCCCAACCTCTCCATTTGTTTCCACATCACTTTTAACCTTCTAACATTATATAATTTACTTTCTTACATCGGTGGTTTATTGACTGTTTCCCCCACTGGAATGTAGCCACCAGAGATGTAGCATTTCTGCACGACGGAGTGTCGGCCCGGATGAAAGTGTTTACGGGGTGCCGGGGCAGGGGCGGGGTGGGGCACTCGGCCTGCGGTGCCTGGCCATCTTCGCAGTCCCCGAGCCCTCCACGGGGGCAGCCCCCTTCCTTCCTGCCTTCCTTCTGGGAGGAGGTGTTGATGCTGCAGGGCCCGGGGGTTCGCCTGAACAACACACACAGAGACCCCTTCCCTTGGAGAGCTTGTGTCCGGGGCAGGGGGAGGGAGGTGATGCACACCCAAGAAACTGCCGTGCCGGCTGGGGACAGTGCGACCGACAAAGCCCAGCACGGGACGGCCCGGACGAGCTGGTGGTCATGCTAAACAGCCTCGTGAGGGAGGCTGGGGCTCTGGGCTGCCGCTGGGGTGCAGGCGTCCGTCAGGTGCCCGGTGGGGGTGTGGGGTGGCCGAGGGACCGAGCAATGAGTAAATGAGACGTTCTGGGCATCGCTGCATGTGACGTCCTGCAGAGAGGATGGGTGCCCCTCCATCACCTGATCTCCGACCCTCCACCCCCCCCCCATCACGCTTCATGCTGCCCGCCTACCCCAACCCCATGAGGTGCTGAGACACAGAGAGGTTCAGCGGCCTGTCCCAGGACGCACAGCATCTGCAGAATGACACTGGTTCAGACCCAGCCTGAGCCTGAAGCCTGCATCCTGGGCGCCGTGGCCAGCAGGGCTTAGTGCACACTAGAACCTTCCTGGACGGCCCCTTCTTCCTAGAGCCCCACAGAAAACCAGCCACTTCCCTGCCACTCCCGCAAAGTACGGCCTTTCAGAGGGAGGCAGGCTGGCCGGTCCTGAGGGCAGCTGGGAAGAGTGGGAGCCTGGCTCCCCTCTGCACCCGGAGGGGACGCACGCTGCTCAGTGTCACCCACAGCACTTGGCCCGCAGCTGGCCCTGAGATGGCATCCGGGCCCTGCGACGACCAGAGTGGAGTATATTTTTAAATACAGAGAACGACAGCGTAGTCAGGCAAACAGCTGCCGAGAGAAGCGCTTTCTCGCCTTAGAAGTGATCCAAGATGCGGCGGTGGCGGCGGAGATGGGCCTGACAACACACACACACACACACACACACACAGCGACAACTGCGTGCACACAAAAATAAGTGAGTTCGAACCGAGTACAAAGCTGCCCCTTCTGGAATAGCGTTGCGCACGGGGGTCCTGCTCGGGAGCCTGTCTGGGGATGGTCTGGGGAGCTGGGTGCCCAGGACCCCTGGGAAGGCACCTGGGGGTCCGGGGAGGCAGGGGAGGGAGCCCGCCGGCCGCTGCCTGGCCCCGGGCACCCGCCTGAAGGCCAGGAGGAGCCTCCCGAGGATGCGCCATGTCTTTGCCGGGTCACTGGCTGTTGGACCACTGTCCACCGTGTGGATAGGAAGCCAAGGCTCAGGGAAGCACGTGGACAGTGGGTCAGTCCGTGCGTTCACTCGTGCACAGGCACGCGTGTACAGGGACACTGACATGCTGCCAGCCACAGCTCTGGTCCTATAGGCAGTCGCCAGCCACACCGCAGGACGGTGGCAAAGCCCGCGCTTGAATCCAATATCCTCCCTCCCGTCCCCCTGTCCCCAAGCCTGGGGCTGCCGGGTGGGGTTCGACCCCAACCCTACCCCCGGGGGTGCCCTGCGGGGAGGCACCGTCCTGAAAGAAGGAGGGGCCCGGGCACCTGCGGGCAGCGGGGCATCGGGCTTCCCCTCCTACACGTCCCGCCTGGTGCTGTGCTCACCTGGGGTTCTGGGACGTGGACGATGGCGTCCTGCCAGCCGTGGCGTGGCCGTGGCTGTGTGGCTTTTCCAAATGCTGCCCGTCCATGTTGGGGTGCAGTTTGGAGAACCCACAGGCCCAGCGCCAGCTCTGTCCTCATGCCCAGAGGGGTGGCCCTATCTCTGGGTATCCCCCTCCCCCACCCTGGCCAGCCCTGACCTCACCCCTGAGGTCACAATGGTTCTGGGCTCAGGGCACTTTCCCAGGGCCAGCGCGTGGAACTGGACACTGCTCTGGGCCCCGTACAGCGTGTGCGGGAGCACAGGTGCGGCCTGGGGCTCGGCCCTTCCGTCCCTGGTCTTGAGCGTGTCCTGTAAGACCCACAGAGCCCTGGCTGATACCTTGGCTGGTGAGGAACCCTGAGACCGAAGACCCAGCTAATCCTGGATTCCGGCCCCGAGACTCTGGTGAGACAGTAGACGTGCGTCGTAAGCCACTAGGTTTCGGGGTCATTTGTTACACAGCAGTAGACAGCGCATCCTTCCCGGTGACCGCCCATCTCACTGGGCCTGGTCCATTGCAAGGCTGCAGGGCAAGGGAGTCCCGAAGGCCGGCGGGGGACGCCCAGCATGGCCCCTCGTCACCACACTCGGCTGTCGGAGGCCCTGCAGGTGGGGCTGGGGAGTGGAGGGCTAAGAGCCAGGACGCTGCTGGGCCAGCGACCTCCATCCCGCAGCCACGTCCCTCTGCCCAGCCAGCCCGGGGCACAAGGGGTGCTCGAAGCCACACTGTGTGCACAGCCCTTGCGTTCTGGAAACGGCCTGTGCCTGGGACCAGTGCCCTGCTTGGGGCATCTCAGACTTGACAGCCAGTGCTCACCCCTGAGGCCACAGGGCCTTAGCACTGGCCCCTGGGGTTCAGACTCCAGCTCGGTGCTGCTGGCTGGATGACTGAGGCCGTGACGCTTTCAAACAGGGCGGACAGTGCCCGCCCTCCCCCTGGGGGTTCTGACATTCACACTGCTTTCCTGTGACAGGCACTGGGTACAGGATGGGGTGGCGGCCGTGGCACGGAGGCTGGCCTCGCGAGTGGCATCCCCGGCTCCAGCCGGGGTCCTGCGAGCGGGGGTCCTGGGTCCCTACGAGGTCGTGGGGAGGAAACGGGCTGCAGGAGCCAGGTGAGCAGGGGCGGCGGTGTGTTTATCGGGGCCTCTCCGGTCCCCGGCACTCTTCTGAGCATGTCCCCTGGACCCTCACACCTTCCCGCAGGCCCGGGCGCTGTGGGCGCTGCGGTTCCCGCCGAGGCCCAGACAGGAAGCCGCTCCTCGGGTCTCTCTGAAGTGGGAAAGGTCAGCGCGCACCCGGGTTTGCCTGGAGCCCCGAGCTCGAGTCCCTCCCCCCAGCGCCCTGAAGCCGAGAACCAGGCCCATAAAGTCCCTCGTGAGGAAGGGGCCCTGCTGAGCCCGAGACGGAGCTTGGAGACCCCCGTCCTGGACTGTTGTCCTGCCTGTGCCTCCAGGCCGTGTCCAGGCACCGCTGTGGCGGGTGGCCTGGCGGGGGGTGTGCCGCAGCCGCCCCCAAGAGGCTTGCATGGCTGTCCTGAATACTCAGCGATTTTTGAGAGCTGGTTGTTAAATACAGCCGCAGAAGCTCACAATTAAGTGCATTGTATTAACAGCCGGTAATAAATACCCCAGACTCATCACTTCCTGGTCAGGACTAGAGCTCACTGTGCCCTAGGGGTCGCTTACAGCTACTGACCAGCTACCGTGAGCCGTCACGCACCTGAGCGACTCCGTGCGCCCTGTCGCCGCGCTGGAAGCGGGAAATCAGCCTGGGTGGGGGTGGCTTCCTTCCTGGACACAGACGGAGCCACCGGCAGGGAGCCCTGGAGAGAGCTCCTTTTTAGCTGTTTGCCAGGCTGATGGGGCGAGATGGCCCTCCAGTCTCCCCGCCACTTGGGAACTTGGAATTGGGGCAAGAGTGAGAGCTCCGTGTGGGGGTGGGGCCCCCTAGGGCTGCCCATTCGCTGCTTACGGGGCCAGGCAGAAGGGAGGGGACAGAGGAGGGTACGAGCCCTGGGGGCTTTGCAGGCTCTGGCCCTGACCTTCCCAAGGCCCCTGTGGCCCTGACCTGCAACACTGTAGAATAAGTTGTCCCCACCAACACTGAGGCAGATTTTTGGCCACCTCGTTTCCCAGGGGGAACTTTCCTGCAAGTCCAGGAAGGTAAAATGAAGGAGCTGCTTCAGAGGTCGTGCCCTCCCGTCTCTGCAGGGTTTAGGGGAGGCTGCATGTCTGGAGAATTCAAGCGTCACATCGTCACATCGGGGTGGGGCAGTGGCTGAGTCTCTGTGGACGGACCTCGGCCCCAGGAGATACAGGGAGGGTCGCCCACTGAGATCTGACACTTGCCCGTCTCCCCTCCCCCTCACCACGGAAATGGCCAGGCGTCAGGGGTGCAGGGCCCTGTCTCCCCTGGAGCCTGTCAGGAACTGTCAGCATTGTCTGCTGGGGGCGGGACCCGGGGACACAGCGGGGAGATGTGGGCAACCAGCCATCTGGCTGCTTTTCAGAGCTGGGTGTGCTCACCAGCCTGGGTTGGGATGAAGCTCAGAGAGGGTGAGGACCTGGCTGGAGGTCACCCATCAGGCAGCGGTGGAGCCAAGTTCAACCACAGGCCCCCGAGGTCCAGCCCAGGGTGCGGATGAGGCCCGTGGACGGCCCGGAGCCCGCAGGCTGGGCCTGGAGGCGGCGCCCGCCTGTGCCTCCCCGTGCGGCCGGCAGGTGGCGCTGCGGGCCCGGGCAGGCCTCGGGCAGCGTCCCCGCAGCTCTCCCAGCCCAGGCGTTTGGGGAGGGGACCCCGGCGCTGCAGGCCTGGGCGGCCTAGGGGTGCTACCCACTGGGGGACGGCCGCTGTGGGAGCAGCAGCTCTCTCCCACCTCCACGCCCCTGCACAGGCTCCCTCCAGCTCCACTACGGCTGGGGACCACACCAGGGGCTGCTGGCACTGCCCCAAAGTGGGGGTGGGGGCACCTGGGGCCGGCAGCCCAGCCTCTGCCCTGCTACCCAGGCCCCTCTTCCCTCCCCCCACCTCTTCCTGCTCCCAGCTACAGCCAGCTCAGCCTCTGAGGCCTTGTGCAGTGCCCACCGCCGGAACGCCCTTGACAAAGATTCTCTGCTTGGTCAGGTTCTGGAACCTTCTCCTAGACCCACGTGCGCCCTCCTGGGACCTCCGTTTCAGCAAGAAGCCCCCATCCTCCACAGCCCATCCCTCCCTACACCTGACGCCCTCCACATCCGGTCAGTTTCCTCCTCCCGCCCCCCCCCCCGCCCCCGCCTCCCCCGCTGAGGTCTGACCCCCTGGCCTGCCCTCAGCAAACACCCCGGCAGGAGGGCTCGGCCTGACCGCCTCGCCCGGAGGTGTCTGGTCCGTCCGCTGACCCGCAGCCGCTCTGCCGGGAGTCCCCGCCCCTGCTGCTCTCCGATGGAGCCGGTCCCCTCCCACGGCCCCCCCTCCTGTGCCTGCCGTGATAGCGCTCCCTAGAATAAATCAGTGTCTTCAACAAGTGTCATGCATATTTTTTCTTTAACGCCCAGTCCCTCCCCACCACCCCCTGCTTTCCTAAAGAAACTCCTTGCAATCTCCCATTTGCCTTCAGAGACCCCAGCCCGGGTCACCTCCTCTGTGAGGCCACCCCTGCTTTCCCTGAGCTCCCACAGCATTTATTCTCCCTGCTTAAGTTGCTGAGCCCCTCTGGGAGGCGGGGGGATTGACAGCAGGGGCCTGGCAGACACGTTTCTCTCCGGGGGACCCTCCTCAGGGAGCACAATGGCCCCATCTGACCCCCTGACCTCCTCCTAGGATGTTTAAACCCAGGGAGCCCAGTGAGGCCGGCCTCCAGGGGCCTCAGGTGCAGGCTGGGACTCCAGGCTTCTCTTCCTCCGGGCCTTGGACTCCATGCCTCCAATTCCGGCCCCAGCACTTGGATCAGGGAGTCACCCCTTCGCCGAGCCTCCTGTGGGCGCCCCTGTGGGTCCTGCGCCCTGGGGTCCACTCCGCTCTGCCCACACACGCAGGCCTCCGCCTGCTGGGACCCCTCCTGTCCTCCACCTCCTGCAGCTGCTCCCGATGGCCTTTGCTGACGGCCCTGGCAAGGCTCGTGCCTCTCCAGCCCCCGGTCCTGGGGGTCCCCCGGGGTTCGTAGCCACGGTCTCTCTCTACACCCTGTGGCCCAGGAGGGTGGGGGCCGGAGCTATCCTTGCTGAGCTCCACCCGGGTAGGTGCCGGTCACGTGGGTGAAAGCCCCAGGTGTGCTCGGTGGAGGGAGGCGGCCCCACGAGGGGCCCCCTGTTTCTGGCGCATGCGACGGGCCGGCCCGGAGTTCACAGACGCCCCGGGCCCCCTCCCCGTCCCCCAGGGTCCCTTCCTCCTTCCAGGCTCCTCTCTGAATCTTTCACAGAAAGAAGCAAAGAAGGGTTTTCCCTCCACTTTCTGAAAACGAGATTTTAAAAATAACTCAGAGGCGGTGGCTGGGCCAGGAGTGGATTATGTGGGGGTTCGAGCCGCACTGGGCAGGTCAGCAAGGCCTGCTCCCCCCTCCCCTTTGTCTCCCCCCCCCAGGCCTTTCCCCCTCACTGCTCTCTCTGCCTGGCCCCCTGGCTGGCCCCTCAAGGAGGCAGGCGCCTCCATCTCTAGCGATGGGGAGACGGCAGTGGCGGGGTCTGGGGGTCTGCTGAGAAGGGAGGTGGTCCGGGTTGGGGGGGTAGGAACATGTGGGCCGTGACTCCCGGCTGGAGCAGGGGACTGGTCTCTATTGGTCTTGCCAGTCTCCTTGGTTCTCTCCCTTCTCTGGTGAGCTCACTACTCACCAGCCTCATGGCTTCCTGGACTATTTCTTGTTCCTCAGACATGGTGCCTTTCCTACCACAGGGCCTTTGCACAGGCAAAGGGTTTCTCAGACCCTCTTTCCTCTCCCTTCACATGCTATACTGCCCTTTCACTCAGCTTTGATGTTATTTCCCCTGAGAAGCTGTCTCTGTCCACAGAATAGCACGGGGGCGGGGGGATCCCCACACCCCTGCCCCAGCTCCCTGACAATTACCTTCTCCAGCCTTATCAGAATTGATAATTCTATTTATTGACTTAGCTTGC